GGGGGAAGGTCCCCCACGCATTCCACGGCAGACCCGGAAGCGGACCAGAACTGCTTCTGGTCCACTTCCAGGTCCGCCGTCAAGCACACTGGGGACCCCCCTGTGCTCCTGTGGGACACTCAATCCGCCCCACCATCTCAGCATTCACGAGCCGCGTGGTAGCTTGAGGTCTATAGAAAAAACATTTAAAGCTGTGTCTATGTCCGAATCATCGAATCTCTCCGAAATGAATTTTGGACACTTACGATTCGATTCAAAGAGATTAATGGGTCTCCTAATTCGATTCAGATTCAAAGATTCAGCCACCGAATAGGGCTGAATCTTCTCTGAATCAAATCAATGACCGAAGCTTCACATAGCAGGACTCCTCAATCTGAAAGTATAACTAAGAGAGATGTGTGTAGTTACATTTACAATACTTTATTGCAAAAAGTTAAGTTACCTCTCCATTTTCTGTTTGATCAGCAAAAGACCGAGCTCCTTAAATCATTTAACAGAATGTATTTTTTGGTCTCACATGAGAAGTATTGCAACATCCTTCTTTCTGGTCAAGAAATATGCAACTCCATCTTGCTCTGCTCAGGATGCTGCCCCTTTCTCCACTGCAAATAAAGTATTTGCCTTCACTTTTAAGGCTCCTCAAAGCTAGCTTACGCTATCCTTGTATAGCACTGCATTGTGCCATATAGATATACTTTTAATGGTTTTCCCTACTAAAATTTTCATTATCTTTAATTACTCTTGTTCAACTGTGTACTCCATCATCAAAATCAACAGTGAAGCCATCATAAACCTGTGAAGACATATTTATGAATAGAAGAAAAATAGAATACCTGCTGATCAGAGAGAAGCTGTTGTCAAATTTTAAAATAAAACAAATGGCTCTCTTACCATTCCATATGCCTGATGCTGGACCCAGTTGATATAGTCATTTCTGATGTCAATCAAATCTTCAATTTCATGAATGTAGAATTTATCATACTGTATAATTTGTCCTCTCTCATTTACCTAAATAAACAAAATTTAGCTTTAAATTAGCTATATTTTGATATCATCTCCCCATTTAAATGACTAAGATTAAAAACCTTCAGTCACCAAAAAACTATATATTAGTATTGTCTTTGACTAAATAGTTAAAAATAAAAAATACTGTTATGCTTAGGAAATAAAAAAGGAAGGGAATACAGGAAACATCCTCTTTAAAGAGTAATTTCTAATTTAGTTGAAAGCAGCCATGTTACTAACTGCTTACAATAGATTAATGTAAACAAATAAATTAGCTACATCTACCTTCTCTGTGGCATATGCTAGTGCACCATTTTCTTCTTGAAAGAGACAAACATTTACTTGCCAGAAACCCAGATTCTCCCAATCTTGTCTGTGTAACTAGACTGCCCAATCCATCTTTCTTACAAGCTTAGGTTTCAGTGCAGTAAGGCATCCCAGGACATCTCTCTACAAGCTCATGATCAGTACATATGGCCTTCTAACACTGTATACTGACAAGGCATTGGGATGGTTGCCTAGATTTTTCTAAAACGTACAAGGAAGACCTCTCATAAAAGTTCACTTACCCTGGACACAAGAACAGGAAGCGATGAACACAAAAATACTGGAGGAGCTGCTATAATTTTAAAGTCTCCTCCTGTTGTCTTTTATTCCGCTCACTATGCCCGAATTAAAAAGAAAAAAAAACCCAACCTCTCTAATAGTGCTGTGCACTAAAGGGAAATAACAATGAAGAGATCTTAGGGGATCTTTAAAAGAATATGTTTTTATATTTTTCGTAGTTTGGAAATTGAAGACATATTGCTTCTCTTCCAGTAACTTCAGTTATACTGTCACTTTGGACTTCAAGTCTCTAAATACCGAGTAATCTCTAGGACATCTGCAATATATTGCCAAATAGCACTAGAGTGATACACAGAAAAATCAGAGTTCTTTAAAAACCATACTTCTCATTTCTAAGGTTTGCATCAAGGATAATGGTGGTGCAATATGTCAAAAAAGCATGACCTGAGGATGTAAAATGTCTTCTGGACTGGACCGATTCTGGACGTCTAGCACACTGGTTCTCAGCCACAGTGACGGCAAGACATTTTCGGGGGTGCCATGACACAGGTGCTGCCGGTGCTGCAAACAGGAAGAATTGCCCCACGCATCTCATGAACAAGTCAGATCAGGAAGGGCTGTGGCATGAGGCACACAGACTTACCTGCATTACAGTCATCTGTTAAGTTAAAGCGGGTAGGAGTTCCCAGCTTGCTGCAGTCCTTCCTGTTCTGCCTCCCCACCCCCCATGCTCCTTCCTGAAACAGAGGTGCACAGGGCAGGCAGAATTGTCCCATGGACCTCTGGGCATTTTTACGTGTGCTCCAGGGGGGAGCAGATCTGAGAGCCACTCGAATTAAAAAGTGCCAGGAGGGTCTTGTATATCAGTGTCCCTACACTTCAAAATGGCAGCAAGAGCACATTAACTAAAGCTCATCAAATGTGTTTTAGTTAAAGAGTCCCCACTGCCATTCTGAAGCTCAGGGACGCTGATACATGAGACACGAAAGCTTCTGAAGCACACTAATTAACACGCTCCAGCAGACTCAATTAATAGAATCCACTCCAATGCACTGTAATTATAGCACATCAGAGAAGCCACCCCACCCTCAGGCACCCTGTTTCCAAGAGAAGCGTTGAGGGCTGGACCAGGCAGAGCTGCAGTGAGTGGGCATTCGGAAGGGCTGCAGTGAGGGGCCATTCCTGCCAGCTTAGACTTATCTAGCCGTGCACAAGACACACGGGGCAATTCCATCTGGCTGCAGCATCACCCTGGTTAAGAACCGCTGACGTAAGCAGGGGCAACACAACGGTATTTCTCAAGCAGGCTACCATCAAATTTAAGAAGTTGTGGAGGAGTGACCTGAATCTAAAAAGGCTGAGAAACACTGGTATAGCAAAGAAGAACAATTCTCACAAGGAATAAAGTAATGTGTGGGGATCAAAGACTGCTATCCAGCAGTCAAGGGATGATTAGATCTACAGTTTTGATTCTCGGGCACCATGCAGACATCAAGCTATGACGTATTTTAGAATGAGGCATTTGTTGATCCACTTTTCCAGTTTTCAATAAAACCACAAAACAGAGGGATGGAACATGAGGAAAATTTTCATGTGATCTGGCAAGCTCCTGTTACAGGTGAGCAATTTCTCTCCCCTCTTTGAATACTTTCACAATCCTCAGGGAATTAAATCAATAACCACCCTCTGAAGAAAAGAGAAGAACAATTAAACAATGACTGAAGAATTGCTTTTTCAGAACTCATTTGAAGGAGGGTGGAGAGAGGAAGGAGTACTCAAATGCTTGAATGGACCTAGTAGACACCCACCTCTCAGAAATTTAAAGGGCTGGGGTCTGTCACCAATTAAGGTCTAATTAATTCTTCCAGGAACTTATTAATAGACAGCCATACTGCCTAGCTGACTATTCCAACGTTTGAAAACAATCTAGTTTCCTTGCAAGGTGGAAGAAGCTGAAATCCCTGTTCCCACATGGGCCATCTAATTTGAAAGGCTGGCTACTGATCAAGATCAAGCTCCCATCATGTTAGGTGGTGTATAACACACACCCAAATGGACACATGATGTATAAGACACCTCTCCACTGCTGCTTCCCCTCCCCTCCCAGATCCTTGCCACTACCTCTAGATCCACAGCAGCTTCTCAAGATTTGTCTAGGCATCTGTTTCTTTTGTATTATTATTAATATATGTAATATGGAACTTCCAATCAAGATTAAAGGTTCCATTATGCTAGGCTGTATATATAGTTGGGTTGTCAAAAGTCACCTTGTGTGTCTATACATGAGCGCAGAGGCTGCTCCAACGCACTGGAATTCCAGTGTATTGGAGCAGACAAAATTAATCAAGTCTGCTGAAGCGTGACAATTGCCCCACTCAGCCAGACCCATAACCCAGATCTGGTCAGGCAGAGAAAGCTCCTATTCCCCTGGGTCGAGAATGGATCTGGCTGTGCAGGAAAGGAGTTTTCCCCACCCAAACACACCCGGGACATGCATCTGGCTAAGCATGGGAACCAAGGCTTTTTCCCCACCCAGCTACACCCAGGGCGCACACCTGGCTGCATGGGGGAAGCAGGGCATTTTTCCTGCCCAGACCTAAGGCACAGATCTTACCGTGCAG